GCCTACTATATAGTAGGAAAGTATGCGGTTTCGATCGCAGCGTACAAGTTACTGTCTTCCGCCATTTTGGACAGTACCACGACGCATATGCACTCTTTTCCCAGAACGCAATCAGCACTGTTTGCATTCATCATGTGCACATTTTCTACTGAATGTAAACAATGCTGATTACGTCGATTACGTTTTGGTGAAAGAAACTCTCCAAAATGGCGGAAGACGGTAACGCGGGGAGAAGAATTGTTGAATAAATTGTTATTTTTGTTTTCTTTGCACACAAAAAGTATTCTCGTAGCTTCACAAAATTTAAGTTAAGCCACTGATGTCACATGGACTGTTTTACCGATACCCTTGCTACATTTCTGGGTCTGGGAACATTGCAGTTGCGTTGCTGTCTATGCAGGGTCTGAGAGCTCTCAGATTTCATCAAAAATATATTTTGTGTTCCGGAGAGGAACAAAGGTCTTACGGGTTTGGAACGACATGAGGGTGAGTAATTAATGACAGAATTTTTAGTTTTTGGGTAAACTAACCCTTTAAGACTTTTAAGAGCCCGTGGGACATCCGTTAAACTATCATGTGTCACTAATGACTGGAGTAGTGGCTCCTAAAAATTCAGCCTTGCCATCACAGGGATAAGTTACATTTTACAATATATTATAATAGAAAACAGTTGTTTATAATAATATTTCACAATTTTACTGGGGGTTTTTTTTACTGTGTATTTAACCAAATAAAGGCAACTTTGGTAAGAATATGAGTGTTTTTTTTTTAAGCAGTGGTTTTCAGTCCTGGGGAACCCACTGATATGCACATTTTGTATGTTGCCCTTATTTAACACTATTCAGATCATCAGCTCATTAGGAGAGAGCTCCATGAAATCAAAAGAGTGTGTCAGATAAGGGAGACATACAAAATGTGAAGAGCTGTGGTGGCTCCCCAGTACCAGGTTTGAAAACCATTTTAAAGTATATAATATTCCAATATTAAATCAAAGATGATTCCAGTTTTGATTAAATGAGTCAAGCATATTTCAACAAAGGCCTAATCACACAGGCAAATATCAGGTCACAAGGTATAGCGTAAGCATACACACCAACGTAATTTATTTTAAAGCTATATATATAGAGAGAGAGAGAGAGCTATAATAAAAAATATCCAATACATACGCATGAGGGCAAATGTACTTTACATAAGGTGTCCTGATCCCGGCCATAGCTTCAGCCCATCCATGTCTGAAAAAAATGTAACGGTGTAAAAGTTGACAAAATATGAACTGGCTTATCACGAACTTCATTCAGTCATGCCATATAATTATGATACAGTTAGTTTACCCTGTGTCTCCTAGGCCATGGAGGAATATCACCTGGAGAAAAAAAAATAACATGCAATATATAAATACGTAAAATCCGAAATAAGAGGGATGTTGCTGTTATTGAGAGCGCTGTGTGCTTGTGTTGATGATGACTTACCGCGGCCGTGGCTCTACAAGCGGCGGGCACAATTGCTGGTAGGGACGCTGACATAATATTACCGCACATAAAAGTACCTAAAGTTTTGCATTCAATAACAGAAAGCTAAGTTACTGTAGCTCAATATGAACAGCTCACAACAATGTTATAATTTTGCATTGCATAAAAAAGTACACTAACCTTTTCGCTTTATGACCCGTACTAGACTTCAGGTCAGATTACAGTCTTCTCTTATGCCGTATTAACCTGTACATCAAATCCGAATAGCTGTTCCTGGAACGGTATAAAATTACCACAACAAACATTCGACACAGGAAGTCCCACCCTACAGCTCAGCAAAACACAATACAGCATTGACACTAGCTCGATCTGTTCGTTAACTTGATGTGCTCAGTAATAACAATGATTAAACATCTATTCCCGCCTTCGTCCGCGTCAAACACTTCATCCTCCATTTCCGGATCACTTCCGGAATCTACGCCACTTCCTACCATGCACTCTCCAGTCACAGATCAGCTGTTGCCAAACTGCCCCTTTCCAATAAATGCCTTACTGAAACAACTGTACTCCGTGTACTTCTCGCCTACTGTTTTTCGAATACTATGAATTCGGACATACTACTCGCCTCGCATACTGTTTTTCGCCTACTATATAGTATGGAAGTATGCGATTTCGGACGCAGCTTAGGTAAATGCTGTCTTTTCTTCTTCTTCTTCTTTCAGGTTTAATGGCGGTTGGCAACTCATCTCAAAGGTGCATGCGTTTGACTGACCTAATCGTTTTCCTAACTACTGCTTGTGCCCTTTTGTAGCTAATTAAAGTTTCTAGTGTGTGATGAGCTTTAAGCTGTCTAAATGCTTTATTTCTTCTTTTAACTGCTATTCTACAGCTCTCGTCCCACCACGGCACGCCTTTTCCCCGTTTATTTCCTGTACTTTTAGGAAAATGCTGTCTTTTTCTTCTTTTTTTGTGTTTTATGGAGGTGGGCAAACCAGCTTCAGGTGCATTTCCGCCACCTGCTGGGATGGAGTGTGAAGCCAGATTAAGGAGAAAGAAAATAAAAGAAGGGGTGGAAACAACAACCCTTATAAAATCAGTATCTGGCAATATAACATTATGTCATACACCCTTAACTGTTTCTGTGCATTAATATAATATTTATAAATATACTCTTTAATGAATGAATACTAATAAATAAGGTCTCTGCCGTATTGATCCACTGATTTTTTTTAGCTGACAACTGGAGCAAATTTGAAAAAGAATGGCGTATATGCAACGCTGGTCTGTCAGACAGATCGAAGAAGGTGCAGGCCTATACTCTGCTGAATTTAGCAGGTCCTGACGCGGTGGAAAAATCCGAGGCTTTCACGTACGCTGAGGGGGAGGACAAGGAAGATCCCGATGTCTTGCTGCAAGTTTGCTGAACTCTGCTAGCCCGCAAAGAATATAATAATGGACACACACGTCTTTAACACAACTAATTAAAAGCCTGGTGAGTCCATTCAGTCCTACGTTTCCACACTGAAAATACCACTGCTTGGATTGCAAGACAGCATAGCAATAAGTCTGATACAGTTAGGACCACATGTGCATACAGTGCAAAACCAAGAACCAGAGGTACGGGAATTCAGTGATCTGTTTGACACTACAGTGCTTTGCAAACTGCCTGTCGTTTATCACATGCGAGTAGATGAGTCAGTAGCACCCACTGTATGTGCTCCCAAGAAAGTGCCCATTGCAATGAAGGAAAAAGTCATGGCAGAGTTCGAGAGAATGACTAAATTGGGCGTCATTACCCCTGAAACTGATGCCACGGTATCTGCTATGGTCGCTCCCAAGAAGAAAGATGGCTTTATAAGGATATGCTTAGATCCAGTGCATCTCAATAAGGCGCTCCTAAGGCCATATCATCCATTGAAAACCATTGAACAGGTCATAGCTGACATGCCAAGTGCCAAGGTTTTTAGTATCCTCGATGCCAAATGTGGATTTTGGCAAATCCCTTTAGATGAGGCATCATTGAAGCTGACCACATTCATGACACCCTTTGGCATGTACAGATTCCTGCGCATGCCTTACGGGATCTCCACTGGCAGTGAAGTATTCCAGCGATCCATAGAGCATCTCTTTGATGAACAACCATGTCAGATCGTGGTAGATGACATCCTAGTCTGGGGGCTCACACTACAGGAACATGATGAGCAATTGAAACAGATACTTCACAAAATCTGTGCCTGTAACATGAAATTAAACCCTGATAAGTGTCAATTTCATGTCACCTCTGTCTCCTATGTAGGCCACCTCCTGACTGCTGATGGCATTAAACTGGACCCTGACAAGCTGGCAAATGCCAAAACCTGAGGACAAACAGGCCCTGCAACGGTTTCTCGGCATGACCAACTACTTATCGAAGTTCATTCCACACTATAGTGACGTAACAGGCCCTCTACGTGAACTGTTAAAGCAAGTTGCAGAATGTTCATGGCATGATCTGCAAAATGCTGCCTTCCAAAAGCTGAAGGATGCTGTATCCAGTTTCCCTGTTCTGCAATACTTTGATGTCACTAAACCTGTTGTTCTCTCAGCTGACGCATCCCAACATGGACTGGGTGCCGTATGTCTTCAGCAGGGTGCTCCTGTTGCTTTTGCCTCACAAGCTTGCACCTACTGAATCTCGGTACGCCCAAATTGAAAAGGAAATGTTAGCCTTGGTATTTGCAACTCAGAAGTTTCATGACTTCATCTTCGGTCGACCCGTGACTGTGGAATTGATCACCAACTTCTCATCACAATCCTAAAAAAGTCATTACACACTGCGTCAGCCCGTCTTCAAAGCATGATGCTCAAGCTCCAACGTTACAGTCTTGATGTGATCTACAAACGGGGCAAGGAACTCTTTGTCGCTGATGCCCTATCACATGCTCATCTCCCTTCCACTGAGCCTCTTCTTTCGGATGACTTGCTAGAGGTAATGACGCTTCAAGTTCTCTCATTGCAACGGACAGAAGAGCTCCGATCTGTAGTTAAATCTGATCCCACTTCTGACACCATGTGGATTGTTTTAAGAACAGATACAATGCAGAACAGGATTACCAACAGAACGTGTTGTTTATTTCCACCTGGTAACTCTTTTTACGTCTGTCTGCCTGTGTCCCTTTTTTCAAGCACCTGACAACCCGCCTCCTCCCGTATAACACCCACCTTAAATGGCTATGGCAACATTTAATAACTCCACAGTTATGACATTAATTTTGTTTATTATAGCTACAGGGCAACTGGAGCTCTACCACTGGCATTTGCAGGGCTCGACAATAAGGACTGCCCAATGGCCCGGGGCCAGCGTGAAAGACGCTCGGGACAGTTGACGGATCTGTCACTTGCCCGATTGGGCCACTGCCGCGTCATCACAAAACTTTATAATTTGCATCTGTTTTTAAGCCTTGCTAATTAAAAGAAAAAAATATTTAAGCAATTTAAAAGCATTCCAGCAAGGCGAGAAAGACAACTCCATTCAGTACTCACAGAACACAGCGTGCGCACAGACAGTTTTGATGCGCAAACCCCGAACTGAGTTTTCTGCATCATTCTTGCGTTTGAACAGAAAAATACATACAAGAATGTGTATCTTTAACAATGATTAATCTATATTTAATTTATAGCCTACAGTGGAGTAGAGATGCACCGATCAGCCAGGCATTTCTTGTTTTATTTCAGACTATCTCTGTTCCGTGCTTGCACACAAACTGCATCGCAACAATTTAAAAAAAATGTCATTTGTGTGGAAATATTACGTTATTGTTATATTTAGTCTGTAAACGGCCATTAACAGAGGCCAGCGATGCTGAAGACGGACGTTAAAAGGAGAAAATACTGTAGCTGGCAGAGTTACTGCCTAAATACTGAATTTTATATGGATGTGTTTCTGAGGGGAACTGACTATTTTCAGAAAAGTTTACATGGCGTTTTCTTTTCATCTTGGCTTGGTGTAATGAATTTAAAGTAGTGCTAATATGCACAGCGCTGCTTTGTTTACAGCGGTAACCAAGTAAACGCTGTTGTTCCATGAGCGCCACCTGCTGTCAGAGAGTGAATCTGCATCTCAATCAGCCTGTCTGCTGTTTCGGTTTCATGCAGGTGTTTTATGTAGCATAATTTCACAAAGCTAAAGTCAGACCATTCTGTTTTTGCTTCAGATTTTGAAATTATACAGTCTAATTTAAATCAAACATTGCACATGCTACAAGTGTGTATCATTTTTTTTTTTTTTGGGGATCGGTTCATGATTAAAATGCAGTGGTTACCACTAATTTCAAATGGCTATGAAAATCAAGGTGCAACACAGTGAAGAGTATGGAAATGTTATTTTAGATGTGATTATTTGATTTCTGTACCTGAACTTCTACAAACATAAAATCCTAAATCATTTAATTTGTATCTTTGTTCTATATATTCAGTTGTGCTATTGTTTGTAATTTGTTCATTTTTTCTTATTTACTGACTGTTCACTTGTCTTTAATAATGATTGAATTTTATATTTGTCAGGGTAGTAGTTTTGGCTGTTGTATCGAAATTGAAAATTGTAAAATTTAATTTGTATCTAAAATATTATGTTTGATAACAGATCAAAAACAATGATAAAGGCAACCATTTTATTTTTTTTATTTTTTTTTTGTGGCAGGGCCAACGAAAATGTTGGCAGAGCAAGCAATAATTTGAATCACTGGCCCAACCGGGCCAGTAGAAAAAATCCTCAGCTTTGAGCCCTGATTTGGAACAGCCAAGGACGTACCAGTATAACTGGTATACTGTTGCACTTATTTTTATGTCCTTTTATGTTCCTGTTTGTCATGGCTGGATAGAGAGGCATACACAGGAAGAACGATTCAGAGATTCTTTATTTACACAAACTGAAGGAGAGCTTCAAACAGTAAATTTTAAAACTGAAACATAACTTGAGCTCTTGAAACTGAAGAGTAACAGTCCTTATCTTAATCCTCTTTAGGAAGATCCAGCAAGACGGCGGGAGACACAGAGCCACGGAGATCCAGAGTGGTGTGGTAAGGCATGAGGACAGGTATGCAACCTTGAGACCAGTCAATGAGAGGCTGAGGTGAGTGAACAGATATAGTGCTAAGGTAAGTGGCATCAGGTGTTCGTAATTAGTAATCAGGTGATTGTGAACGGGTGTAGGTGGCTGGTGTGGCTGATGTGATTGGTGAATCTGTGACAGTACCCCCTCCCCCACGGGCGTCTCCTTGCACACGTGACCGACGGCGAGGA